GTTAATTCTTAGGTAAAAGTTCGGGAGAAACACAATGGCGCCACTGATTTTCTCTGAAATCAACTCCCAAGCTCAAAAAAAAGCTCTCAAAGTGAGGCCAAAATGGAGGGGGTATCCCACTCTACCCTGAGAGTCCACCTCTACATCGAAACAAACTCTCCATGCAAAGATAGGGAGCAAATACATTGACAGGGCTGCCACTTCATTTGGGGACTCTAAAACTGAAAACACGGCAACCCTGCTAATGTATTTGCTCCCTATCTTTGCATGGAGAGATTGTTTTGATGTAGAGGTGGACTCTCAGGGTAGGGCGGGATATCCCCTCCATTTTGGCCTCAACTTGAGACCGTTTTTTGAGCTTGGGAGTGGATTTCAGAGAAAACCAGTGGCACCATCGTATTTCTCGCGAACTTTTACAAGAGAATCAACAATCAAATCTCAAATTCCTCACACATGCAACATCTCCATTATGGCTCATTCTGAGGAATTTTGTGAGTTCCGAAATCGGAAACCAAGGCCGGAAAAAGGGGGCACTGGGAATGGGCTGGTGGCGAGTCGGAGTAACAGCGTGAACATGACCTTGGACAGGGTTTAAAAGCGTGAGGGTGAACGGCCGGGCCGGGGCCGGGAGGAAAAGGCGACCGGAGAGTGACTGAAATTGAACGTAAATATTGATCACGATAATTCGTTGACCCCAAACCGCGAGTAAGTAACGCTGTTCCGCGACATGGCATGGCACCGGCAACCGGCATGGCATTCTCATCACTATTTGACGCAAGGGTTGGCGCGGCCGGCGCGGCGTGGCGGCTGCCCCGACTGAAACATGCAAGGAGTATTGCATCATCCACCCATCACGAGGGTGTGCCGCCACAGCGTTGCCTAAATTACGCGCACCTCCATTCGCATCTCCACCGAACGTGAGAGGGATGAAATTTGGCAATTCCGCATTTCAGACTCCCTCCATTCCGTCGGATTCCGACGAGAGATCCATCGTAATGAACTTATTACTATATTATAACTATATGAACTTATAACTATCATTAATTACGTTTCTCCGTCAAGAAAACGGAAAAATGCTATAATGCTGTATTATTCAAATTCTCTATGCGTTCCTCCCATGCATTAGAGTGTTCAACCCCTTGTTTGCATACATGAAAAAAATGGATCGCTGATTTAACAATTAAATTGTTAAAATGAGGGTGTGCCGCTACAGCGTTGCCTAAATTCCGTGCACCTCCATTCGCATCTTCACCGAACGTGAGAGGGATGAAATTTTGCAATTCCACGTTTCAGACTCCCTCCATTCCGTCGGATCCCGACAAGAGACCATCCATCGTAGTGAACTTTACATTCTCTACACAGAAAAAATGAATTGTCGAATTAACGATTTTATAGTTTAAAAAACTGACAGCATGTTTCAATTTCGATTTTACAATGAAAAATGCTAATCTAACCACACCCGTGGTTAAATTAACTTTCCACTATGAAATATGTACATTTGAAACAAGTCCATCACTTTTTTAAACTAAAAAATTGTTAAATCGCCAATTTTATTTTTCCGTGTAGAGAATGGGAAGTTCACTACGATGGATCTCTCGTCGGAATCCGACGAAATGGAGGGAGTTTGAAATGCGAAATTGCAAAATTTCATCCCTCCCACGTTCGGTGAAGATACGAATGGAGGTGCACGGACTTTAGGCAACGCTGTAGCGGCATGCGGCACACCCTCATTTTAACAATTTAATTGTTAAATCAGCGATCCATTTTTTTCCGTGTATGCAAAAAAGGGGTTGAACACTCTAATGCATGGGAAGAATACATAGAGAATTTGAATAATACAGCATTAGCGTTTTTCCGTTTTTATGACGGAGAAACGTAATTAATAATAACATGCTATCCAGTAAATTTCCTTGAAATCAAATGATGGGCGCAAAACCACAACAATGGAGTTTTCAATCTTCGAACGAAAGTAAAATGACAGAAGACGCCGCTAACTACTACCCCGGCCGGCACTGCGAATTCAACGTAAACTTGATCATAACGCCTTGATACAACTATTCGAGCCCCTGGGATGTCCATGTTACCTATACACGGAATTGAAGGCGCCACGGATATCTTTTTCCAACAGCAGCAGTCATCATCTGCGGCGCGCATGCAGAAGTAGCTGATGTTGAGTGCCTAAATGAGTGCCGATCGATCCTTCACCGAGACGTCCCAAGGTTCAAGTTCACGCCACCTAAGTTCCTTTAATGAAATATCTAATTTTGAGAACGTGTAGTAAAATTTCCTTATAAATTTTCGGATATAGATGGACCGCAATCTGCTGTACGGGAGTTCATTTCTCGCAGATCCAATCAGTATAGGAAAACTGACAGCACATACGTCTTTTTTACAAAGAGCTATACATAGTGCGTCTTAATAACGTAGCGCAGTTTTCTTTGAGCGTTATCATGGTTAAAAGATCTATGTGCAAATTAATTAAGTTAAAAGTTATCATGTGCGCAGAAATTGCGTGCCTTGCGTTCCTTTTGATTTAATTCATTTGTGAATAGTTTCTTTTGGTCTAAATACGTCCAATTGTGAGTGAAATTCACTGAAAAATTTAAGAGATATATTCTCAAGTTTGCCAGAACATTTTTATTTTATCAGAAGGGATTGGGCGATATAAGAATGCTCATACGGGGATTTTCTTTGTACGGATATTCTCTTGCGACTTGACATCGTCTCTTGTTTATAGGATCGAAACATCTAAATTCGAAGCAGCGAGCTGATTTATGAATTTGATAGACAAAGCTATAGACAAAGCTTAAGACAAAGAAGATATAGGGAGTATGGAGCGATCCTATTGGTTGAAATGGTTGGTTCTTATGGACTAAGGGGGTTAATGATGGACTAACTATATGTAGGTCTCTCGTGGGTTACCGTTAATTAGTCTATTACCTACTTCCTTTGTCCATTGCAACGACCCGCTTCCACCAATAGGATCCCTCCATACCCCTCTTGTCGTTTGTCTATAAATTTCAAAAATCAGCCCGCAGCGTACTTTCAGAGGCCGCGTCCCACTTTCGCGTATCGCTACTTGGGCATGAGTTGCCATGACGCCTTCATATTTTCGTGTATGCACCACGGGCATCGTTGGAGCTCGAATAGTTGCATGAAGGCGTTACAATCACGTTTGCGTTGAGTTACCTGGCCGGAATGACAGTTGGCGGCGTATTGCCTCCTCCTACCCATATACACAGATTAATGACTCCATTTTTAATTCTATGTTCATTAATGATTAATGTATTCAAGGACATTATTCAGGAGAGCGCTAATTTTTATCGAACAATTCTTCCCGTCGGGAAAAGTGTTTCGCGTAATATTAGGAATTTCTACCGTCCATGTGATAAAAATCGCATGAGAACATCAAGAGATGAGTACATTTTAGACTAATGAAATGTATAGGATTTGCTAAATTTTTAATAGCCCCCCCCCCCTTCGAACTGTCGGACGCTCCATCATCGCAAATCTCTCTTAAACTGAATCGACGTTCGCTTTAAGCTGCCTCCTACTGAAATTATGACGCTGTTTAGCACTTTCATTTATACATGACATCAATCGAAACTATTAATATCTCCGGAGAATGAAGTAGGGCGATATTATTTTTTAAAGAATAATGAAGCAAAGAGAGACTGGAAAAATTGAGATTTTAGAAATTTTGAACAGCAATACTCCTCTGCTAAGGTATCGAGCGAAAGATAAGTAGTTGGATTTATAAAACTACATTTTCAGCTCGAACCACAAACATGCAATTTGAATATCTTTTATTCGCTGGAGTTTCCGATTGCCATACTATAGATTCAAGATAATTAGTAGCGACCATAAGTACTGGTTTATATTAATTTTTTGGTGCTGAAAATACACCGGTGACACGTGTATTCAGTGGCATTCGCTCATAGCTCTAATTTTTGTTAAATATTACCGCGAAAACTCGGCAACACTGGGACGTCAAGCTATCCAGACACCCAGCCACTTTCCAGGAACACGATTCCAATTTCAACAGAGGACTGAGCTGGAATAATATAATTCGCGGCTCTGCTGGGCCTCGCCTGGGTTAGGGGTGCGTAAAAGACAGCGAAACAAAAAAAAAGTGGGTCTAAAAAGCAGTGACTGAACGGTCAAATGCTAATCTCTTTTCCTGTCCTAAAGCATTATCGCATCCTTCAAAGCCTTGCTCAAATTTTTACACTACCTTTGTCGGTACTAGGTATATTTTATCGTTGAATTTTTAGCAGTCCTTGTTAATTGTCCTTGTTGACCTAGATTTTTTTTTTTTTTTTTCTTTAAGTTTTTAAAAATTTAAAAAGCAACTGAAAATGGGCACCACAAATGCGTCACACGAGATACAACAAGTCACACGTTCTTGCTCCACAAAAATAGAGTTTCTTATACATGTCAGTGGGCACGATTGGACCCATGCCCTGTAAAAATTTCGACGGATAAACAAAATTTAATGTTTTGTGAAAAAAAAAAAAATCGGACTTTCCTCTGATTTTATAGCATGCGTGAAATTTATCGACTTTTCCATGTTTCTCTCAGCATCTCAGGAAATCGTTGCCTCGGACCCGGAGAAAACTCAACATACAATATAGAATAGTATGCAAAATTGAACAAATTATTTTTTCTGATTGGCATGAGCGTCACATCACGTTTTGTCGGGCGTTTTGAAAATCAAAAATAACCTAATCTGCTAAAACACATCTGTTCAAATGGAAAATGCCGCCAGATGACGTCATGAGGCGGCACATTTTCTCACTTGGATATCCATTTTTCTCCAATTTCCCATGCCAGAAAAAAAATTATGAAAAATACTGCGAACTCAGCTCGCTAAACACTCTCAAATGAAGCAATACAATTTTTGTATGCAAAGTCTCCATTATTCAGAAATTGACAATCTTAAGTTTCTTTCGTTTAATGCGATCTTATTTCTAGGTAGGTAAACCTTGTAAGGTACGTACCTTGGGAGCTGATCCGGAATCGAGAATCGGCGGCCGAATCACAACACGAGGACGCGACTGCGGGGAGCACGTGCACTGACTGACTCGGGAGCGAGGTTCGGGATCGATTGGGGTCGGGCGACTACCACGCAGGGAACCCACCAACTGATTCGGCTCGGCGGCTTCGGCCGAGACTCGACCGGCAAAAATAGTCGCGACACGAGATTATTCGAGGAAGACACGCCGCCGCGCCACACGCAGTGCGCGGATCCGCGGAAAAGACGACGCACACGGCCGCAACGTAAAACTGGATCTCGCGGTTCGCGTAGAGGGCGCGCGCTCGGCGCTGGGTTTCAGCCACGCGGGGGCAGGGGCGCTGGGGTGAGTAGCCGTGGGTTCCCGCTATCTGCGTCGCCGCGCGTTTCGCCCCGATCCGCCAGAGCTCTCTACCGTCCACGGTCTTATAGACGGGAGCCAGGGTTTCAGAATTCGCGCCGTAAGTAACTGAAGCGTACTGACTAGCAGGCGCCCTAGAAGCAATGGCTCTTAAAAAAAGTTCTTCAAAAATTTTTCCAAAAAAATGTAAAAAACTTGTAAATTTTAAGAGTTTGTAAATTTTTCAGTAAAAAAAAAACTCTTAAAATACTCGTTTAAGGAAACCCTTTTAGGAAATTCTTTCCAGTAAAAAATTAGTGTTATTTTAATTAAAAGAAAACGTAAAATTTACGTAAAAATCAATAAACTATATCCTCAATTTTTATGGGCTGTAACTGTTCCTTTTTATACTATTCTGTTCACCACTTGTTTCCTCGTTTTTGCCCGCAGGAAGCTAAAAAAAAAAAAATACGTAAATTTTACTTAAAATTTACTTGAAATTTACGTAAACAATTTACTTAATATTTACTTAAAATTTTTCTTCAAATTTATGTAAAAAGCCTCTAAAAGGGTTTCCTTATACGAATATTTCAAGAGTTTTTTACGTAATTTTCAAGTGGTTTTAAAGGAAATTTTAAGAGTTCTCTTAAAATTTACGAGTTTTTTACAGCTTTTCTCAACAGCCACTGCTACTAGGGCGTTGCAAAAATGAGAGTCATTCAAAGGTGATAAAACTATTCGCGCCAGATGGACGTCCACACTGCTCTGCTTTATGCTGCTAATGAGATTTGGGAGAAAATTAAAAGAATGAGGCCGGATTACGTCTCACATATCCTCGGCCGTGTTGCGCACACAACCCTTGAAGCACCACTACAAATCGACGGCGTATGTCTGCAACCACGTATCTCGTTTGTGGTGTTTGAAAATCTCCACCTCGATATTAATTCTTGAGAGGAGAACAAATTGACATCATTCCTTGGTTTTTGTGGAATTTTTTGCGCACTGAGAAGAAAAATCACGGCAGTTTTAAAGAATTGCCGTTGAGTAATTTTCCGTTTAAAAAATACAGTATGACAGGAAGTCTGCGACGTCGCAAACCGAGATATGTGGTTGCGAACTTACACCGTCGAAATGAGACAAATTAAACGAAACAATAGGGCAAGGGAAACGATGCGCGTAGGTAGACGACGGCGCAGAGATACAACTATTCGTACTTGATGGATGTCCGTACTGCATCTGCAAAGTTGAAGGCGCGATGGCGCGAGGCGTAAACTCACGATGCTCTGCAGCTCCGCTTTATGCTGCCAACGAGGTGTCGTTCAGATTCGGGAGGAGAGTAAAAGAACGTGACAAGATTACGTATCTTCTATCTTCGGATGTGTTATTAGCGTATCCCTTGAAACACCACGTCGAATGAGAAACGAAAACAAACATAATGTGGAAATGGGGCAAGGGAAAGAACGCGCAATATTGACGGCGCAGAGATACAACTATACGTACTTGATGGATGTCCGTGTTGTATCTTCGAAATTGAAGGCGTGATGGCGCGAGGCGTGAACTCGCAATGCTCCGCTATTTGCTACCTTAATGAAGTGTCACAGATTGGATTCAGGGAAAGGTTAAAAAAGAGGCCCGAATACATCTGTCCTGCCTTCGACTGTTGATACTCGTTTTTTTTCTTTTTTGTCAAGTTCATGACTGATTCTAATTGGACGCATTTCTATGAAACGGAACTAAGCGCCATAGGGAGAGGAAGGTAGGAGGGGGCTTGGATTGGCGGCGGAAACGGGCGTCCTGCTCGTTCCGTCCTATACTCGCAATGCTTCTCCATGGCGCTTAGTTCCGTTTGACAGAACGCGCTATCCGGGATTCTAAATTCCTCAAAAGGAACTCAAATTGGCGCTTAGTTCCGTTGACAGAAATACATCCAATTTAGGATAGATTTGCAGACCCACATCTGAAGCTCGTGAATCGGCCTTCCATAATCTGTGGGGTACGCTTTTTTAGCAAGCCTCAGATGGATTTGACCTGACTTCGGCATATTGGGGTTAATAAAAATATCATTAAAATGACTGCAACTTACTCGCAAAAACTCAGGATTCAAAATTGGATCCGAAAGAGGCCATTTAGTCAGTAAATTTTGATGAAATTTAGTTATGTCATGTCGCAAAATTAGGCTCCAATCGTTCGGTCACGACCAAAAACATTCTGAATCTGAAAGCCAACATATGATTCTAGAATGGGGCTTCCTGCTGTAGATACCTAGATCTCTGATGCATTTAATGGATTTGTTCCTTTTTCATTACATTTACTTGCCGTATCGAACATCTTGTCCATTTCTAACTTCAAAACTCTTTTGTGTCTCCCTTTCCTTTAAAATTTCACCTTGTACGTACTAGATTGAATGATTCATTTTTCGATGAAGTTAAAAGAATCTTTACGGTTGGCATTTGAATTCATCATTTTAGACTTTCAGTTTTTAAAATCAGTAGTGTAAGTTTCTTGATTATTTAAAGAATGGTAGTCAACGTTAGTATAATCATTTTGCTTTTTACTACCTATGAATACTGTAGGTTATAAAAACATTTGAACTAAAAAATGTGTAATTTCCTTAATCAATAAATTAAGAAGGACAGCAAGGGAACTAGCCACAGATATTTAGGCATTGACTGTAAATATAATTTGCATGTGGAATAGGTATATAAAGTGTTTAAATTTGATGATCTCATATGTTTATATAAGGCTGGGAATGAAATTGAAAGGAACTACACAGTCACAAGAACAAGCACTGAACTTAGATTGGAAAAAATGTATGCATATATTTGAAAAATTGACAAATTTTAATTTATACCTCTTAAAAATTAAAAAACACAGAAAATCCAAAATAAAGACAATTTGAGCTCCTGGAAAACGAAAATCATCATCAGAAAGGCATCTTGTTGAGCTAATAAATTAAAACAATAATTCTGGCTTTACCTCGTAATTTCACCAATTTTGATGATGTGTCAATGCAAGATACAAAATACACTGCAGGAAAGGTTACTAGAGAGTAAAAAGCGTAGTCCCTTGAAATGATTTGGAAACTGGATTCTTTAATAGGAGTGGAAGAAAAACGAAACTAACTGAATCATTATTGGCCAACAATTCACCAGAACTAGCATCAGATAAGTTGGTAGTTGCTTACTTTCAGTTCACAAGTGACTGCGTTGCTGTCATCCAATGGCCATCAAGGATTGACGGTGGACACCTCTGCTATTTTGCACCAATGCATGCATTGGTCTATTACGCGAGACAATAAAAAATGAACAACTGACAACTTATCTGATAGCAGTTTTAACTGAGAATAAGAATTACCATAACCTTCAAGATGCAAAATCATAATTTTACAGGAGCTCAGGGGTCGAAAATTTTAAACATCAAATTTATGCCTTTTTGATAAAATTTAGATCCACTAGTTATGAAAACCCTATGTTAGTGCCTTCCATATTGATGAGTCCAGGAAACCCTTCCAAAAATATTGCAATTTTTCTTTTTAACTAAAAAAAAGTCTGAAAACCAACCAAAACCTATCTATAAACATATCCACTTTTTCGAAGCAATTGTAAATAGAATAAACAATTTTAGGATGGGTTCATTGTTTACAATCATATACGTCCATTCAAAATTCAATCATCTTTAAAACCCTACATACACTATGACATTCTTTCAGAGGAATATGCGATATGACTCAAAAAGAAAGAAGGAATACATATTTCAATCAAATGGTCTCAACTTATTGATTGGTGATAAACCTAAGACTTGTTTAGAATCTTTGTTATTTTATACTTTACTCAAATGCTAATTAGGATTTATCTCTTCTCAAACTGATTTTCAACAAGATGACAAAGTAGAGCAGTCATAGCCATTCATTTCCATCTGAAGGTATAAATGAAAATGGGATCTCTTCTTAATTTCCCTCCAAACAAGTATCAAAGCGAAGCAAAACTGTAATCAACAAAAGAAAAGAGAGGCAAACAAGGTGGCTAAATTTTCAAAATAATGTTAGATGGCATACCAGCACAGAGCAATGTGCCAAGTATCTAATATCTAAAACAGAGAATGACTAACAAAACACAACAATTTCTAGGCAATGTATCAACAAAATAAAAATCTTATTTTAAAACAATTGAAAATAAATTTAATGATAAGTCAAAAGATCCTAAAAAGATGCAGCTGACAACTAAAATAGTGCATGCGCAACAAATAAATGCTTCCTAGAAACTAACCGGTTAGTTATAGGTCTGAGCACTGCATGCACCATCACTCACGAGATAGTCAAGATCAAAATTAAAGTCGACTTAAAGTAAGTATCACCGAGAAGTATCACATCATTCATGCAGTAGAGAGAAAAACAGCTTTAAATTTACACTGTACAGCAATGGTGGGTCTTTTCATGCATTTAATGGTATACATTTTTTCCCTCATCTTTCGCATTGAGATGTAACTGCCGATTTTCGAAACAGGAGAAACTGATCAATTCGGTTTGACAAGATAACTATCAAGGCAGCAAAAGAAACAACTAGGGTCTGAAAATCAACTAGGCCTTTGTACAGCACTGTGACTGAAAAGGCAGATAGCTGATTAATGGGCAACAAAGGCAAAGGGGCCTTGTGTACTGTGCAAAGGCAAAATGGCAAAGCATTAAAAGAGTTCAAGGAGCACAGAGAAACCGACACTAAATATTAGGGACACGCCAAAAGGTTTGAGAAATTGTGATATCAGCTCCAGACCTAGAAATAGCTGAAATACACAGTCAACTCTGAAGCATTTCTCCATATCGAACGTTTTTACTGGAAAAAAAAGAGCATATTAGTGGTGATGAAAGTGTCCACTCCCATGTCATTTTGTCAAAGGAGGACACATCAACATTGACATTGAATATTTTCTCATTTAAAAAAATAAATTTTGACAGTAGGACTGCCTTGCTGCAAACCAAAATAAGCATTTTTGCAGTTTTACCGTCAGTATATCTTCTCTTCGAAAGCAAGTGACAAAAAAAAAAAAGATCTATCAAATAAGAAGAGAATCGACACATGCAAAATAAGTTATGAATCACAGTTCATATTTACAATAATATAATATGTGATTGCTTTCAGGAGAAGGAAAACGGTACAGTCACAACATTTTCAAGAGAGGAGATTTGAATTAAAATTTTCTAGGAACATTTTACGATGTCTCATAGAATAAGTTGTAAGTAGTTCCGTTCATTCTTCAGAGGGCATAATAATGTAGCATCAAAGTCTGACAATTCTGAGCCATGGAAACCTGTGATAGATTCTTCTCAAAATTGTTTTCAAACTTAAAACTATCATAACTTTGATGTTTTTCAGTGTATGCCACTGCTCTAGTGATAAATTCCCCTATGCATTGGTACCAATACTTAAATGTTGAGTTTTTGAGCACTAAGATTCCCTCTCCTGTAGACAATCACATATCGACAGCGTAAGTCCGCAATCACATATCTCGTTTGCAGCGTCTGAAAAACTCCGCCTCTGGGTTGTATTTTTAAAGATCAAATTGACATCATTCCTTGGAGTTTATACAGAATTTCCTTTGCACAGAGAAGAAAAATCACGGCAGTTTTAAAGAATTGCCGTTGAGTAATTTTCCGTTAAAAAAAATACAGTATGACAGGAAGTCTGCGACGTCGCAAACCAGGTTATGTGATTGCCGACTTACACGGTCGAAATCTATAATTACAAATGCACTGTATAGTTATTATTAATACGCCATATATTCAGTGGGGATTCTTTCACATTGGAAACACTGCTTTTGCTCCATTTTTCTATTCTATTATGAATAATTGATAGTGTGTGAAGCAGTCTACTTCTATAGATTGAAATGGTTTTCCATGCAATCAAAAGGGAAAAGTTCGATGTTGCTGACCTGTGAGAATCGCCACAGACTATATTACATTAGTATACAAGAATAGAACAGAATGCATGAAATTAAGAGCGTCTTGGCATATATTATTGGTTCAATCTTCATAATTCTAAAGATTCATAAGCAGTTTGAGCGTTGTCCATTGTCTTTTCATGATGTAATGTGTTTCATGCAAAATATTTTGCAAAAGATTTACTTTAAAAGTTGAGACAGTTTTAAGTGTCCCTTGTCTGATGATTTATTGAATAAAGCAAGACATCTACATGCATTTTAAAAATTCAAAATCCTTTGAGATTATTACTAAAATTGCAATTACCTTTCTCTTACATACAGTAGAAAACACGAAAAAAATATGAGCCAAAAAATTCATGAGGTAACGGCACAAACTGCAACCAGCAACTCCAGTGAACAGACAACAAACGAATAAATGAACATTTATGCTTGAATATTTTTTCTCTTTAAATTCTAAATATTTTTTTCAAGGACCCAAAGCACAAAATTAATGATGAAGGTGTATTGCTTTAACCAACGAATTTCCTAATTCGTGACAAACTAATTTACTCACTGACACCATCCAACTTAAATGGTTAGACTGTTTTATTTTCATTTCCACCTCATTCAGAAATTCTATTATTGTTCACAAATTTTCTCATAAATATTGCTGCATAAATAAAAATGGTCTCCAACAAACTACAAAGAAATGGCATTGGTCTTAAAAATTGTGCACACACCTTTCTCCTGAAACATTTTTATCCATCTCATTGCTCCTCATGTCTCATCGACAAAGAAAACTAAGTGGCTTGGTAGGTTCTAAACAATGTTCTTATGGAATCATTTTACTCGATTCACTAGCTTTCTCATCAGGTAGAGGTCTTGGATTCAGAAAATTCACAAAGCCTTCCATGAAAATAAATTAATGAAAGCCCTCTCAGAAATTAGTTTCATTTCCTGACAATGGACTGCTAGACATGGTGTGAAGTTAAGTATTCTGATTTATGCTCCTTAACCAAAATTTGACGTAAAACACGATCTGCTCAACAAAAATTACTGAAAATGGCTCCTAACCAAGATATTCAATCTTTCTTGACACGTGAATTCAAATCTCCCGCTCATGAAAACTCAATGGTCTAGGTGAGTCAGATCGCAAACTAAACGTTACAGTGGCAGTCTCTGCGATATGAAAATATGGCAATCTCAATCTTGACGCTTTGGCTCAGCTATAGCAAATTGTTTACACTTCGACTAATAAAGGGTGGGAAATGAACGATGTTTGATTGAGAAGCCTGCCAAAACCGTTGTAGTGCGCAATTTGACTCCTGTGGAGTATTGTGTTTCTTTGACCGGGCAGATCAAATGTCCAGTAAGCAATGTAAAATAAAAACGATAATATCTTAGTTAGAAGTTAATGTCAATAATTTTTGATGCAAGACTCGTGTTCTGCATGAAATTCTGTTTAAGAGACATGTATCAGAATGCTTAAATTCGAACTTTGTCTAGTGATCCATTAATTCTGGATTAAAAATGCCTCAAAGAAACTACGAATTGAGAAAATATATTGACAGACATGAGCTCAAAAGTTAGTAGCCATAATTATCCGTTCATGAGTATGATGCCGACTTTAATTAGCAGAGTTGATTCATCAATCTCTGTTATCTTCACAGGTTTTAAGTTGAATGATTCCCTTATAGGAAGAGACATCACAGTCATAGGAAACATACCTGACCGTTTCAATAAAACAGAGGAATTAATGCTACAGGTTTTCGAAAAATCACAAGCTTGGACTCCTCTCTTTGCCCTTGACAATGAAGGTACAATCGAACTTAGATTAAGGCATTACTCCTATGAAAAAGACCCATATTTACTTTAACTAATTGTAAGTCTCCTGTAACGGACGGAAAGGAAGCACAAAACAGAGGAAGATTGCCTAAGATGTAAGAAAGATTTGCCGTAAAATTCAACTGTAATGCTCATGAATACTGTGCTAATTAAAAAAACAGAAACTGAATCTTAGAAGAAATAGATTCAACTAGGTTTAACTACTATCAGGTTCACTTTGACTTTTTGAATCACCGGAGTGAACCGTTCCATTACCGCAGACGCAACATCTGCGTTCACCATGACCGCATCCTTCCTGTAAGGATTCTGCTATCATTTATCAACCATCACTTAGAAGAATTCACATTTGTAACTTTACCATTCTAAAATAATTCGAACTACAAGTTTAGAAACTTCCTGACAGAGTGTGCTCTAATTTTTTTGCATGACAACTAATGCCAGCTGTGGAGCATACGCACACAGAATCTCGCCTGGTAATGAAAGGGTTAACCAACTCACTGAAACTTAAATCTGAAATTTTCTAAGTCTTTGTCACTTGTTCGTTGATTTTTGCAATTCTAATTGCCAGCTGGAGACCAGAAAACATAAATTAAGAGTGTAATGATCCTGCAGTCTGCTTGCCGCAATAATAATTTAAATGCACGACGCAGAGCCATTACAAAATCTCATCAGGAGTCGTAGATGGGAAGTGGGTGTCCCTCACTATTTATCACATATTTATCTATATCTAGGAGCCGTCGGTCTGAACTAAGAATGAGGTACAGATATTTTAAAGTTTCGCTGAGAAAAAATGATTCCATTTTATCGCGAGGCTTTGTGTTTTGAGGATCCAGAACGTTCCCGATTGAGGAGTACCCATTAGCAACCTTCGTGTATTTCTCAAATGCCTGGAAAATAAAAAAAACTCTGATTATGTACAGCCACATGAGGATCATAGATATTGCTGGAAAAAATTGAAGCATATGAAAACATTTATTTATTTTATTTTTTTTTTTTTGTATTGATGAAGAAACAATTGAATTGAAACAGAGATCCAGACAGGGCTTCGAATTAATCTTCACTAGAATAGCCACTCTTTCCCCAAGTTCCCCCAATTTTACCCTTATTTTTAAATTTTTCCTTAACCTGTTGTATCTACATAGGGAGATGTAGAGTATAGCCATTTGTGTAATGCTTTTTCATTGGTCGTAAAATTTAGGTTGATATATTGCTCCTAAAGCTACTGGTAAATAAAAAAGGATGCTGACTTTGCGCAACCTAGTTATTTTTTGTCATATTATCTGCAGTTTGGGGATTTGTGGTCGCCTGGAGCACTGATATTTTGTTTCCTTGGGTGAAAAAAGGGTGAAAGAGATGGTCAAACAAACACTGACATTTCAGATGGTCAAAGATCATTCAGTTGCTTTTCTCAGGCAGCTAGTTTTACCAATTTGTTGGACAGTCTAAACTCAGGTATTGAACTATTTGCAAAAAAATTACTTATACAGTGCTCTTTCGGTCTGCAGTTTGTAAGCCTGAGTTATCTGTGGTACCTCTGGTATGGATTACTGCAAATAGCCTGATTGCTGCTGAACTCAACTTGTAGCTGGGAATAAATGTATTCATATTAAAAATATTCCATACCTGAAATATATTCCAGGCCCAGTCTTGATAAGTTGTGTTCCCGGTGATCTGATACATATAGAATAAACTTTCTAGGAACTCAGGACGCAATAAATTATGAGCATCATTTGGTAACACATACAAGTCAGGCTTGCCAGTGGCCTGAAAGCATTCAAGTAAAAATTAGTCAAAATAATGAGTAAAAATGATTCAATTAAAGCTGATTGACAATCTAAGTAGAAATTGAATTATTGACACTAAATTTCATTAAATTAAATTTAATTGTAAAATGAGGATGAATCATCAAAACTTACTCTCAATCCGCCTGTTGCAAACTTTTGCTAGAGCAAAAATAAGAGTTGTTTCTTATCTTTCTTTTTGAAGCGGGAAGCTCAAAAAACCGCAAATTTCTTACGCAGACTGTGAAGTTATGAGTGCATTTCAGACTTTGCCGATGCGCTCATCGTGACTTTTGAGGCATTATCAATAAGAAACAACTCTTATTTTTGCTCTAGCAAAAGTTTGCAACAGGCCCATTGAAGCAGAGAAAAAATAATCATTTTCTGCTTGTTCAATCATTTTTAATTTTTGCCACTTTTAGGAGCACTTAGTTTTGAGTTCTCAGTATTTAGTTCTGAGTACTCAGTGCTTAGTTCTAAGTACTCAGCACTTGGATGCGATTGATTCATAAAAAAATGTCCAGATTCTTTTTAATAGTATTAATCTTTGAAAGACGAGTTGAAGTTAAATGTTTTAAGCTCTCATTCAAACATGCATTACCAAGAAAGCTAAGATGGTGTCTGAAAAAATTCCTGCAGCCAAGTCTGCACCCAAATTCGATACCCATCAGAAATTAACAAGTTTTTACTGATAAACTTGCAAGATGTGCTGCTTTTTTGTGGTCTTTCTGTTTCATCAGAAAAAAAATTGAGTTTTATATATGAGCAACTAGAGTTCTATCTTACATCTGTGTTGAAGTATGCTATCTCAGGTGACAGAAACGTTGGCTGGAGAGCATACATCTGATAGCATGTTTGCAAAAGACCATTGGCTAAATCAAGATGGTGCTGCGGTAACCCGTGGTGAACGCCAAGAGCCAGGGTTCCTGGTAAATAGCACACTAAGTGATCCTGAAACAGATATTCAGGATAAAATACCAGTAGCCATAAAGTGAAACATGAATTGAAGGTTTTTTGGGTAAGAGGCACCTTTGTATTGGTTATGTCATCGATGCGAGCAATCATTGATCACCAAGTTAGTCTAAAAGTAAATGCAAAGTTTATTTTCTGATGTTTGGAGAGGTAAAATCCTAATGCTTTTTTCATAAAAACGTGAATTTCCTAACAAAAATGAGGTCATGAGTTCATGAATTTTAAAAGTGTTTACAACCTTTACCCTGGACTAATCGATTTACGATCCTGCACTATCTACACCCCTGATCATTACCATATGAGGTGAGGAGACAGTAGCAATAACCAGCAAAAAGAGAATGGAGACAGCCCAAAATGTAAGGAATTGAATGCTTCCAATGGAGCAAAAGAGGGAGGAGCAAGAGGAATGGTAAGGGAAAATTTGATGACAGATTTTGAACTCACCATTTTTGGAAAAAATTCTCGGGACCCGCTTTTCAACTCTCCAATGAACAACCACTTATGAATACCAGTATATCGGACAAGATGTTTGGAGACGCCATCAATTGCCTCCAGATAATCATCTCGTAAACTGTTGAGGTGAAACAAATACAGAACCTATAAATTATAGTGTTACACTGGCTTCATTTTCAAAACTAATGTATGCAGATAAAGAGCTTATGAATAATCCTAAATCCACAAAACAGAAACATACCAAGTTCAAAAAGAGAGGGTATCCATTCAACATTGAACTTAAAATATGTAAATGAAAAATTTTACTTCCGACAACTCATGCTCCCAGAATTTATGCCAAAAATAAACACGAAGAAATACATACATTAATATATAACATGGCTGTCATTTCAGCACCATGGAATTCAATGAGGAAAATTTTAAGAGAAAATTAAAAAATGATTTTCTCCATGAATGTACACAGAATTTCCCAAAAATAGCATGTGAATTACCATGACAAATAGAGAGAAGCCAGAAATTCAAAAAGAATAAAAAATTGACTTACTAATCAATTGTTTTGCCAGTTTGTATCCACTGTTTTAGCAGATATTCATAGTAACTGTCACCGCGTGCACCCAACTTGATTTCAGAATTGGCCAAAAACTTTCCTGTTACAGGGTTAATGAAGATAGGAACCAGCCCGTCCATCTTTTTCAGACCATGTACAATTTTTGAAGTATTAGCGGCATATTTCTGGGGGAAAAAAAAAAAATTGGGTTCAAGCTGGAAACCAGAAGCTCAAAAGGATTTTACCTAGATGTAGGTGTTCACTGTTGACTGTTGAACTGTGCTCCTTATATTTCCTTTAACCCATTCACATGTATTCAAGAGTATACTGGTCATGGTGCACCTGAGACATGTATGCATTGATGCACAGGTGATTGTCTTTGTCATGTTTCTTCGACTTCAAATGGATAGCTTTACTAGCGTTGTTCTAAATATCATTCTGGAGTATTCTATTGCTAACCTGAATGAATCCTAGTGATTTTCTATTCATATTGAGCAAAACAGTATTTTAATTGAAAAATATAATTTTATTTCTAAACGGGGCAGACAAATTAATAATCGCATACAAATGGGTTAACTAGTACACTAATGATATGTCCCATTTTACATTACAAGACTTCTAATAAGCTGCCACCTGGTAAGCTACTGTTACGTTGAATAGATCTCAGTGGAAGATGCTACCTAACGCAAAATTTCAAAGCACAGTCGAAACCCCACTAAAATGAACTGTGTTGTTTTCATCTTCCACTGACAGATGATACTGGAAAAAACCCAGGAAGTCTGTAGATGAAAGATCATCTACGGATTAGATGATAGCATGATCGAAATAAGGTATTCAGAGACGCCCAAAAACATGTGATTACGCAATTTAAGATTATGAGGTATGAAGTGTGCAATTGTGCATACTGAGAGGAAAATACCTCAAAAATTGGTAGCTTGGTTGAGCGACTGAGATCTCTAAATTCTAATTGGACCGTTGTAACTTCTGAGGTGCTTGAATCTGGACTCCATCTTGGTGAATGGGGAATTCTAGATGCAAGGTTAACATCTGAGTAGGGAATTCCCGATGGAGACTTACTAAAGCAAGGCAATAGGTGATCTCCCAACTCCATCTGAAAGTAAGCCATAGGTAGAATTGAAAAGAGAAAAGAAGGATTAACAAAAGAAAATTTCACAAAACTGACAAATAAAGTGTTATTTGCAGACCTTTGATTTCACTTGTTCAATTGAATGTTCTCACACTACCTACAGTGAAAATTCTTAGAAGATTGGGCCACAAACCTCAACATAAATCAAAATGACCTCTTAAGAATGTTTCTTTCTTACATGTATATGTTGCATTGAAAGGGGCTAAAATTTTAAGAGTTCATGAAACGCATCAGGCGTTAATGTTTGTGTAAGATAATTCGAAAACTTGAGAAAAAGTTTTCTTTTCCACAAATTAAAACATGGATTTCCGAATATTTATGGACAAATTGATAGGCAATAAATAAGTGCCATTATGCTCTTATCTTGACTAATAAATTCTTTTTCATATATTGCCTAAAGAATAAACAGCTAAGTATCTGGCCACTGCCGGCTATTTCAAGATTTCACAAAATAATTTTATAGCCCAGATAAAACCAACGTGGCACTTAATTTTCAAATTTATTTAGAAAAAAATTCTCAAAAATCATTTTACAAGGTTCTGGACATGAAAGCTTCCCTCATATAACAGTTGTTCTATGGATTGACTGTGAAGCAACTTAAAAATCGGGCCACCTCATAGGCCCAACAGCCCATGGTTCCTTTTTGAATCACAACATAGCTTTAGAGATACTAATAAGCTGTTTTTTCCCCCTTCCATTCCGGTGGATATCTTATTCAAATAGTAGCCTAAAATTAATTTTATAATATTCTGATTACTTCCCATTTTTGACAACACAAGAAGTCATTAATAAGAGTCAGACACCTAAGCGCTTGAGATCAAATGTGAATGCAACTCACAAAAACTACAAATCTACCTATTATAAAAATACGTATCTACTCATCTACCTATCCATATAAAATATTGCAAATCCATCGAGTACACCCACTTCAGTTGATTTCTTCGATGAATTCAAATAAAGTATTAAGAAAAAATTGGTAGTTTCTAAATTTAAGAGAATCTTACAGATTTGTCCAAGAAAATAGGGTCATCGGAGAAGTGATAAGCAGTTAGCAAGCCACCTAAAACACGAATTGTCACCTCAAACAGATTGACATCATTCAAGTTATTCAAGTCTAAATGTTTGTCTACCCAGTCGCGAGCCTCCTGGAACTCTGAAAAAATAGAAAAATATATAAATTATGGGAAGAGAAGGATAAATCGCAATCTGCTTGAAGGATGGTGACTCAATTACTAATAACAGAAGAAAAGAGTGGCGTGATGCTTGAACACTCCTTAAACTTGTAAGAGGTATTTGAAACCATCTTTTTCTGAATCGTCAGTGTAGACAGTATCCAAGTATTTTCTTTTAGTTGTTTTGGAGGTCATAAGCTTTCCATCTACATTGATTAACTTGATTATTGAGTATCTTATTGTAAAACTTGGCCAAAGATGCTGATGAACCTACGTCTTTCTTGATCTTAGTTTATTAGGTCCTCAAATAGAAATCAAACAATAAAATAAACTCAATTGCATAAGATTGGTAGTTCTGTGGTACATCAGTTTTAACTCTTGTTTTATTTATGAACGGAGGTGTTTGAGGACACAGCCTGGCTCTGATGAGTCAGATAAGTCATTTTTTTCTTAATTGTTTCATTCAAAAGTATTAAGTGAACTAAGCTTGCTAACAGAGGGAAGCGTTATTCCTCCACAGGGATGATTTTTCATGCGATTCTACCCTCCACAATGCACACTGTAATCCTCGTACCAAAGATTGAGGAAATTAACTCTAGCAGGCCAATTCCTCCTGAGTTAAATTCACCCATTGTGACGTGAGTAATTACAGCCACTGTGTATAATCTTTCATAAAAATTTGTTTAAAAAGATTTAAAAGAAACTTACCATCTTTTAGATTCATTATGTACATTGTATCTAGCGAGTCAACAATAGACAAGCCAAGACCAAACCAGTTATCTTTGCCACCTGAGATGGGCTTTAAGTGGTCATGGCCCCAAGCAAACTTCTTGTACCCATGCCAGGCATGCAAGAATGCCTTTATGACACTCTTCTGCCGAGGGTTGTCAGCAGGTGCAAATACTACTGGTCCTTTGGCCACGGTTTTGGGTTTTTCCACTGTCTCAGGCTCCTTCAAATGCAGAGACTTTTGCTTACCTGTAAAATGATACACTTTTCCATCAAATTATTCTGTGATTCCATTCGAGTCATGTTTTTTCCTCTTCTGAATTGAAATCCATGTACTTTGAAAAGAGGTCAGATTTACAAACAAAATAAAAGCAACACTTTTAAAGGTTTAAAATTCAGTGATGCAAGGCGTGTAAATAGGAAATGAATAACCCTAGAATCATATTCCTTGTTACATGCCTAATTCAACTTGCAAAATCACCATGAAAAGTCATTGGTGTCAAAATCTGAAGAGGTATTTAAAAATAGACAGAAATTACTCAATTTTCGACTACTCTAATGAAATCAAAAAAAATACTGAGCTATTAGCCGATTTTCACTACAATGTTATGCCAACTCAGGCCATGCTTTGATAAAAAAAAAAAAAAAAAAAAATATACAAAAATCCTTATTAAAACCTTTCATGAATAAAAACATCTTCTTGCACATAGTTTTTTTTATTGAAACATGGCCTGAGTTTGCATATCATTGTAGTTTAAATCGACTAATGGCTCAGTATTTGATTTGATTAAAAAATAGATAGAAGAGTCTTGTTTCTACAAGCGTACACAATTTTAAAAATAGTCCACCAAGATTTGTTTTCTCTTATCTTATACAATGCTCTGAAAAGACAGGATGATGCTGAGAGAAAAGCAAATGCAAGTACAGGGCTACCATAATACCTTCGTTTTTTGGATTCACTGGCTTTCTCTGACTTTTTCGGCTTCACTCTGACTTCAAAATTTTCAAATTCCCTGATTTTCCCTCACCTTTGGACACAACTTCCATTAAGATGTTTTTCCCTTTAATTACCCCGACATCTGTTAAATGCTTTTCCATTAAATGCAAAATTTCTTAACTCCTTCAATGCGTTCCCTGACTTTCCAGGTTTTCTGGACCACCAGAAACCATGACTAACCATGATCTCAGTGAGACAGACGATAATGGAGGAATAATTTCAATAGAATCTTCAACTCTAACTGACCACTGATTTGGATGAATGCAGAGCTATTTCACCATATACATGCAAAATTCATGTTGCCTCCTTGGTATCCTCCTGAACTTACCGTTTTCTTTAAGACCATCCTTCGCAGCAGCATCTGCATACGAATCAAGTTTGTTATCTTCTTCCTCTTCCTCTTTCTGTGGTTCTTCATACTGATCCTTTACATTTACGATGGTATCTATTCTTTTGTTAACGCTTGGCTCTTCCACAACTAATTGGTCGATCAGTTTCTGTAGAAAATTGATTATAATTATTTCTATGTTTTTCCTTTTAATGAATTGGGTATTTCAACTTCGTACAGGCTAGTAAATAAGGGATTAATAAATTTTAGAAGAAAAAGTTGCACAAGTTTAATTTATTCTTAAAACCACGTTATGAGACACAGCCAAGATAATTCTGTGGACACGTCATAAATGTCTTCCTGTGTGGAATGCTGAATCAGAAAAGGACCTTGATCTATCTCTGGCGTGAAGAAAATCTAAACTGTTTAGAAAATTGGTTGGTGTGGAGAAAAAACTGAGGTCATGTCCAGACTTGGCGCCAAAAATTACTCACATGACCACTTATAATTGTGCTTTAAAGAAGATTTCTTTTTTCAAACCTGTGAAATTTTTTAAGCAAAATGTGGTGCAAAAACATGTTTTACTAACACACAAAAAAAAACAAACAAATCAGCCAGATGAATGATTCTTATTCAACCGGATATGTTTTCATTAAATATCTCACTGTAGTTCCCCATTTCCAGATTTAGAGGTTGCAATTTTTTTTCCTAGACATCATTAAAACCNGGGGGGGGGGGGGGGGGGGGGAGTAGGATCAAAGGTGAGAATTATGATTACCTCTGGTGAGGGAGCATTGTTCGGCAGAGGCCCAGAGTTTGGATCTATAAATGTGAGCTCATTTCTGGTGATATCACTGAAGAGTCCTCTGACAAGTATCCAAAACGCCAACATTAGCACACCCACAACCATCACAAAACACATCAAATTTTTCTGCAGCCTGGTTAGTTGCCGCCATGACTGAAACACAGAAATTAAAAAAAATGAAAGATTTTTACTGCAAGCATTTTACACTTTCTTGTGATCAGCAACCAGATATTGTTCATCAAATCTGTTTGAAAATTCCAGTGAATTTTATCGGCTGTTTAAGTAAATTCAGTGAAATTTTTGGACAGCTTCATTGAAAAATTTCTTTGTAAAAAATAGAATGGTGGCGGAAATTTTTAAACGCCCCATGACGCTTGTGATACTTTGGCCAGAAGGTGATCTGTCATGTGTTTAATGGTTAACTTAGGCACATTGAAAAGTTACAAACAAATTTAATGAGTGACACCTTGATGAGACAAAAACTGCTTTGTAGCTGTCTTTATTACCGGTCGATAATTAGGCTCTTGTGACTTTACTAAGTTTGACATTATAATGATCTTACCGTGATAGCAAAGTAACGCAAGTGAAGCTTACCCTCAGCAGTTTGCGCCTTTGTAACAGATGCTGCTGTTCTCCTGTTGAATGAACAATGTGGTCAATGTTGAAGTAAACACTATCCCTCTTGCTATCTTGAAACATGGCTTCCAGAGTTATCTATCATTTCTGCTTTTTCTCCGTCACCTTAACCGTGGTTTTCACAATTCAAACCTAATGGGCATAAGATACTTACAGAATTATTTGAGGAGTAAGTAATGGATTACTCATTTTATAATTGACACATTGATTTCACATGGCAAATTATATTACTGACATACTTCTTATAAAATGGTGCCTACAGCTAAGTGAGCCATAAGATTTTGAAAAGGGAAATGATTATACTCGGCAATGTTAAGCATTTGGACTTGGATCAACGTAACTCTAGGACAGACCTTCGAGCTTTAAATAACAAGTCAAAAGGTTTAGCGGGGGGGGGGAATGTCAATGGAAGTTTGCTGTTCCACCAGTCATGCATGGATAAATTTTCCCTTTCACAAAGGGACGCTGTGCCTTGATGTACCGGTTGACGTTCAAACTGGTGATCTACATCCACTCTTTTGAGAATTAGTAAGATTTAGATTGTACAGTAGTCACTCGTGACTTTGTAGATCCACGACGCAGCTTAGAAAAATTGTGCAACGGTGTAGGTCGGCAATCATATAACTTGTTTGCGGTGTCTGAAAATCTCTACCTCAATGTCATTTCTTTAGAGGAGAACAAATTGACATCATTCCCTACAGTTTATGCAGAATTTTCTTTGCACGGTGAAGAAAAATAATGGCAGTTTTAAAGAATTGCAGTCGACTGGTTTTCCGTTTAAAAAATAATGTATGACAGGAAGTCTGCGACGTTGCAAACCGAGTTATGTGATTGCCGACTTACACCGTCGTGTGGCTAGATTCTAGAAAAAAGCATCATTGCACCTCTGACCTTTCGGATGAGGTGCGTGCTGAACAACCTGTAATGATCAGGGCATTGAAGTATTGACTCGTGAAATTATTTACCTGGAATTTAACATTTGTTGAAACTACATAAAACTGGAGAAAAGAGATAATTAACTTATTTTCGAACACAGATTAAGCCGATCGTGGGTACTGGTGCATAGACGTTCACGAAACATGAGATGCCATCATAAGCGGTTCAGACACGAAAAAAGCTGTTATTTAGAACGCCAGCTTCTATCTTCTGATCAACTTGTCGACCTCCGGTCTCCGGTGGCCAAAAATTACAAGGAAATAGAGGACAAAGATAAGCTGGACCCGACAAAAACAAACTCCCAAACACAACCCTAACCTAACTTTGGCTCTTTCTTTTCTTGCCCATCAACAGATAGAACTCGTCCCTGTCAACAGCGACAAGTCAAGCGCCAATCACAAATGAGGATTATCCATAGAGTGCGCCGCTGAAGTCACTCCTTGAACGGTGCATTCGCAGCCCCTTGTTTGCCGATATTGTAACCAAAGTTGCATCTCTTTTCCGGCCGACCCCCCCCCCCCCCCCCCAAATTGACTTCTCTGGAACTGACTTTTTGCCCTGAAACATTGACGGAACCAGGAATATAATTCTCGAGAGCATTTTAAACAATGCTCAATGAAAAATTAAATGGAGTAAAAGAAAAAAACACTTGACAGCAATTTCGCTGTCTTGTTTATCAAAAATACCTCATTTACAGTAGGTTTTCCTTAATTTTCTGAAAAGTTTTGAAATTTCTGAGGCCCATTACTGGATTGGGTCCTTGACATTTTTTGAAGAAGGCCAAGCAGAATTTCGGGGGGGGGGGGGGGGGGGGGGCACCCGATTCCCTTTATTCCTGCCCATGCTTATACATACATACCTAGATGTCAAAAAGTACCTATACAAGAAAATTAAAAAAGATCTCGTGCAATTTTCAGAAATTCTAAAAATTTAAGACCTTTGGGGAAAGTACTAGCAAAGACTTCAATATCAACTTTCTTAGATCGAACTTGTAAATATTCATGGGTTGGAATTTTTCCTTTGAAAGAAATTAAAAATACCGCTCTGCAATTGAGGCATTTTTCGGTAAAAGGGCGTTTTTCCTCTCTTCTGTTATTTTTCTCTGCCTCCTCCCCCCCCCCCCCCCCCCCCCCCGCATCAACGGTGAAATTCTAAAAATGCGTATCTCGACTTTTCGAACATGGATCATGGCTCGAAGTTTTCACAGCAAATCTTTTACAGAGAGAAGAAAAATTAGCGAAATTTTCAAAAACTGACAAGTCAGTAATTTTGCAAGCACCTAGAAAATAAAGTATGACAGGAAGTCTACAACGTCGCAAACGAAGATGCGCTCGTTTCCTTCTGCAGTCTATCGAAATAGGATGTAGAAGTTTCAGCATCATTGCTTTTTGCTTTCATAATCTGGCGGCTCGGCCGAAAAGGTTTTTGTGGAGTGGAAAGCAAGACCAATCCACACAGGTCAGTCATTCCCGTGGACGAGTTTTGGTACTCTACTGCGCAGTGACGTACTATTGAGTGCTTGCAATGTATTTCTTATGGGAGCACCCATTGTGACGTACTATTGAGTGCAGCTGAGTTAGGGCCGGGCGGGGAAGTGGCTTTCAAAAAGATGCGCAATGACTGACCTGTGTGGATTGGTCTTGGTGGAAAGTGAAATGAGAATGCGAAAAGGGTTCGTAATCGGAGGGTCTGGGCGGGGATGGGTGAACTGACCGGACGTCGGACGTCTCACCGAGCGGTACGCGCTTATCAGTTCTCGAAGGAAAAGAAAACCTGAAATCATCAAAAGTCAACGCGACACGCCAACTTCGAACAGGATACATTCTGTTGCAGACACCCTCGCGAGAGCCAATCAGAATCAGCGTTGATCGAAGGACGCCACTCCGGGCCCCCCTCCCGAGGATACGATCGTCACCTCTCGCCAGCGGCAGATTTTCGGCAGCGGTCGCTCAAGTCGGGTGCAGGTGCAGATGCAGTGCATTGTCTCGCGGTCGGTCGGAGTGAGTTCCTCGTGGTTTCAAGTAATTTCCCTCTCACTGAAAGTTTTAAGTCTCTTAGAACACTTTTAACATGTCTCGTTACCTCGTCTGTTATGCGTGAACTCTTCGGTGTGTGCAAAACTGATCGTGTGAAGTAATTAATCTCTTGAATTGAGTCCTTCATTCTCTCGAAGGAACTTTTGCCCGGCGTTTGAGCTAATTGAATGATGGTAACGGATCCCCACAGTTTCCTTCGATTCTCGTCGTTTCATACCGTTTCGTTATTTTCGGTGTTTATTTTTGCAGTGCGTGTCGTTTGGAACCTCGTGTGCTTCGCGAAAACTTTTCGGCGATGAATGAAAACGATCGCTTGTGTTCTGTGCCTAAATTGTCTCTTGGATTGCACGACGGCCGCGTGCCTCCTATGATTCCTCCTGTTTCACGAATTTTACTAACTCATGTCCGGCGTGTGAGTAAATCGAATGTAGGTAATTGATACCTACCCGAAATTTTCACCGAATTTTGCTTCCATTGTTTCGGTTGAGCCTATGTGAACTTCTCTATTTTACCATGCTCTTCGCGAGGCATTTTCTGCACTGTTCAGTGACTTTTTGAGCAGCAGTTCGGGACTCCGAGTGATGTGATGTGACGTTCGTTCCGGTGTGTTCCTCGTGTGTCGGTGTGTGCGTGTGTGTATTTGCCTCGCGTTTTAAGTGTATCTGTGTCTATTTCTCATCTAATGCGAAAAATTACATTCATAATTGCTACCCACGATTTGAAGGAGTCGGATTTCTGGTCATAGCTTCCTTTGATGCGTGTATCTTAAATGGCGATGGTCTGGATTCAGGTTTGACTTGCACAAACTTATCTTACTTAGATTCTGCTCAGATTTGGTGTCATGTTTGCAAAATTGTACGTAACTCATATTTTACTTATGTTCTTGTCTTCTTCCACTCCTTTTTTTCCAACCTGGCTTTTGTATTTCCTCTCATTGTGCTTCATTTTTACAGTAGGTATCTTCCCGTCAAAGCCAAGAGCAAGTAGGTTCATACGAATCTTGCCGTCATGTTCCTTAGTTAGTTACATTATCCTTTTTTATTAGGCAACAGTCGTTAAGTACCTATTCTACTTTCCTAGGCCAGCAGAATGTCTTGCATAGTGCACTAAGCATACAGTTATTAGTAAAACTACTGAGGAAATCATCTACTGGTGTTTGAGTCAAACACAATTTAGCGAATTATTCGCAGAAATTATCTATCTAAAGTAGACTCATTATTTAAAGCACCTCCTTTTTCCCATCTGTATGAGCCGAAAGGGTCATTGCTGTAATCTGATTAAATCACTCGAAAATTCCAACAACAATGGACCAGGTTGCAAGAGCGAACCGTATTCGTGTGAGGATGAGTGCTTTCCTGACTCCTGTTTAAATTGCCTTGAGTCTGTTAACACTCTCAATTTTACAAGTAGAAATTTTTCAGGTTTTCATTTACTTATTGTAGCTTAATCTTAGTCTGTAACAGTGTTTTTGAGACTAGAGTCACCATGATAAGTTTCATATGTGCTCAATTTTTGATTTTTGAATCCTTTTCCCCCTCTCCTTTGCCACCTCATGCCTTCACATTATTTCCTCGAAGCCTATATAAATGTTTTAATTGAAAGTTTCAAGTAGATTTTCTAGGTGCCTGTAATTAATATGTGCATACCTAACCCCTCCCCTAGAATATAGGGCTATATCATGTTGTCCTCTCAGATAATTTGCACAAGTAATTGAATTTTGAAAGTAGCTTCATATTTAACTGGTTTACATTTTCTCATTTCATCATATTTGAAGACAGGTAAAAGTTTGAGATGATGGTTCCAATCACCATTGGTAGAGTTAATCCCTGGGTTTTACTTTTACTCGAAGCTAATTTGAGCGTCCTCAGTCGTCAACTAGGCCCATCAGATAAAATTGAAGAGAGAAGAATACGTAAGGATAAACGAGAGAGAGAAGAATAAGGATAAATGAGAGAGAGAAGAATAAGGATAAATGAAAGAGAGAAGAATAAGGATAAATGAAAGAGAGAGAGAGAGAGAGATCGAACATCCACGCCCCTTGAAAGTCCCAAGAACCTTAAGTTTGCTTCCGGCCTATGGTTTGAGAGGAGAAAATAAATGCTTCTACTATAGATGCAAAATTCCAAGATTTCCCGGCGCAAACCCCCGAAATAACTTCCCTCTATTGTGCTGGAAAGACTCAGGTCCCTAGAAAATCCCCCCCCCCCCCCCCCCCCCCCCCCNGGTGGGGGGGGGGGGGGGGGGGGGGGGGGGGGGGGGGGGGGGGGGGGGGGGGGGGGGGGGGGGGGGGGGGGGGGGGGGGGGGGGGGGGGGGTTGTTCGGAGGTGGCGAAAAATGCCGCTGATAAAAATCTCCGACACTCATCATAAATGCCTTAAATATTTATCTTAGGATAGAGGGAACTTTTTACTCTTATGCCCTAGCTAAACGATCCCCTTGAAAAATTTGAGTTCGAGTAACTTTTCAATGATGTTAAAATTAAATATTCTTAGGTCGAGAGAGGCCACCCCTTACCCCGCCCGCTCGAATAATTCTAATTTGCTATCTTAAGGGAAAGTTATTATTTCCGTCCGAAAAATCTGTCCATGTCTGAGCAGAAAATCGTGCATCTTAGAGAGAGAGAGAGGCAGGCTTTTCAGGTCCGAATCCCCATGTGATTTTGTTCGTCGTAAAGAGGAGAGATAAGAATTGGCGGGAGTCGAGGTAAACCCACGCCGATCACGATCAGCTCCCGCCAGAAGTGCCCACCCCTGGACCGGATGCCAAGTTACGCACAAACCTTTCTAGGAATTCTCCCAAGCTCCGAAGATTTCAGCCGGCAGACCCCTTCCTCGGCGAATCTTTAGTTCATCGTTAGCCGATAAGACACGGTGTCTCCCTGGCCGGATGTTCGGTTACGCACACCGACAGACCTTTCTCGGAATTCTCTCAGGCTTCGAAGATTTCAGTCGGTAGACCCAGACACTAAGTCCCGCACCCTTCCTCGGCGGCGAATCTTTCGTTCATCTTTTGCCGATAAGACATTGTTTTTCCCTCTGATCAAACTTCCTTTCAGCCTCCACGGAGTTACGCAAGATGCGTCGATAACCTCCCCCCCCCTCACTCCTTACCCCTCGCCCTTTCCTTTTTCTCGTTTCTATTCAATCATGGAATGCCACTGTTCGGATTTTCAACACTTTAAACCGGTAGCCCCCTTCCCTGATAATTATTACTTGCAATTCTTGTCAATGTTTCAGGAAACATGCATCAAGACAGTATATCTCATGAATTTCTTTGTAGGTGCTGTAACAAGGATCTCCCCTCTCCCCT